TGTTGGATATGGGTTTGCTTACTTTTTATTAAATTGATCGTTTTATTTATTGTGTTTTGTTGAAGATTAAAAATTTCTTTAGTCTTCATAGGCGATAGGAAATTGAATAATAATTTTGTTCCTACTACCTTGGTTGATATTCCTTGTTCTGTTACTTTAAAGGGATATATTTGAGTAAAAAATGGAGTTCCTAATATTACTTCTTGTGATAAATTTTTGACTAAAATGAATTGATTTTTAAAACAATAACTTTGATTACATATTTTTGCGCATGGTAGTTTATATTGAACTTTTAAATTACTACCATTAGCACCGCTTAATCTTTCAGTAGTTTTTTCATAGTATTTTGTTGGGATAACTCCTTCACGGATACAGTTATAATCTGCACCAGTATCCATTAAGGCTATTATGTTTAATTTAAAGTCATTTCCTATATGTAAAGTAATATTTGTATACCATTTTTGATAATTGATTTTATTGATTATTTGAATATAATCTTCGGAATCTTGTTCTTCATTAATTTCTAAGTTTTGTCTATTTGAGGATGCTTGAGTATTATTGTTATTCTTTGATTCTATCAGAGATAATCTTGCATTTATTTGTAATTGCTTAATGTCTTGATCATTTACAATATCTTGTAAATGTTTAATTTGTGACTTTATTTGTTTAATTTCATTTTGTAATTCTCCCGTAGATACTTGTTTAAACAAACTCTGAGTTGGATATTTTTCGAATATTTTGTATAAACTAAAAGGTTGCGGAGATTCTCTAGTATTCTCTCGGTTTATTATATCTTTTAATTTTATTAAATATTCTCGTTTAGTATTTGGGTCATCAATTTTATCTATTATTTCTAGTAAAAATTGTTTATCATCTTCTTTGGTTATAACATTGATAATTTTACAATTGCATAAATTATCGGATAACTCTTGTGATTCACTGGATGAATCACTTGAATTTCCTATTTCGTTTATTGAGTATTCATTATCTGAGTCTTCAGATGACTCAGATTCTGATAACAATAATTTAGATAATTTTTCTTGAATATCAGGTTGATCTTGGAATATTTCATTAATTTTCTTTTTCATTTTGCATTCCGTGGATCTATGTCCAGGTCGCTTACAATTCCAACATACTATTTTTTGCTTATTGGTTGTATTATCTCGTTTATTTTTAGAGTAATGTTGATTTTTTGAATATTTTTGGTTATTAGATTTATTGTTAAAATTTCTTCTTTTATTATGATATTCTATTTGATTAGACCTTCTATGCTTATGCTTTATACGCTTAACTCTGGATGGTGGATTAAAGGTTTCGTAACCATATTGTTCACAGAATGAACCCATAGTTACTTTAAATTTGAATTTATCGTTACGTTTTTTATCTTTTTGTTCTTGACATATTGATAATCCTATTTTCTTAACGAATGCAAATAATTGCCCATAAGTTATATTATTCCAGGGGACCGGTTGTCCTCCAGAGATTTCTTTAAGTTTATTGATTACTATTTCTGCAAAGAAATTTGGTAATCCTGAAATGAATCTTTCTTTCCAGAAAGGTTGATTACAATCTGGTCTTAAAAATATATTGGTTATAAAAACATCTTTATACCATTTAAAATCTCCTAGTGTAGGACATCGTAAATTTGTTAGGATTATTCTTTTACTTTCTAATTCTTCGGTTGGATTGCCTACAAAGTGCATTAATATAGTGTGTACTAATACTTCTATTGCATTGGACTTTTCGGTTTCAATAACGAAACCATCTTCATCTTCTGTATAAATTTTCTCTACATGATTGATTATAGAGTTTTGTTGATTAGTATCTAATGCGTTATCCCACCAATATTTTAATGATCCAGAAAATCCTGCTACTAATAGTACACATGCTTCTTTATCAGTTATTGTTTTGTCTGTTTTAAATGCTGCTGTTGCCATACCCATTTCTTGTAATACATTCATTATTTCGTATTCGGATTTACCATCTATGTTCCATTCATATATACCATTTCCTGAATACATATTGTTAGAATATTTATGATGTTCTTCAAATAATAAGTCTGGTGGGGTATGCCTTGAATAATAAGGTTTATTAGATCTCATAGTTCTATTTTTTATTCTATTTATTTCTTGTATATCACTTTCTGACGATATAGATGTTTGAATAGATTCATTATCGTTTTCATCTATATTATTGATACTTTTACCTTTGTCTAATTTGTCTAATCTATTGGCTATAGATTTTAAAATTTCATTTTTACCGAATTTAACTTGCCTTGTAATTGGTTTAAATATTGGGGTTGATACAGATTGAAAAGGGATGTTGGGTAGTTTGATTATCTAGAGATAATTTATCACTTTCATTTATTTTATTATCTATGTGATTAACTTGTTTGGATATTGTATGGAGTAACTGACTTTGATAATTATTTTGTTGATATACTGCTTTAATATCTTGTTGTGTTATTATATTCTTATCATCTTGATTAGCTCCTGTTTTAAAGGGTGAGGCTACGAGTATTCTATCAGGTGTAGTTATTTTTAAATCCTTTAAGGGTGGATGGACTGACCTAATTTTATTACCATCCGATAATTCCCATATTTGACTTAAAGATGCACTAGTATTTATTGATTTAAATGGATAATTAATATTATGAGAGATTGCTTATGTTTCAAACCAAGTGAAAAATGGAATATCTATCTCTTTTATTGTCATAAAGTTATACCAATCTTGTCTTAATTCAATTGTTTGTTGTTTAGAAAATGTCTTGAAATACCAATTTCTTTTTTCTTCATTTTCTTTTGAATAGAAATCTTTTCTAATATATTGTTTATTAATTGTATATTCTTTTAATATTACATTAATAGTTTTAAAATCTGATGGAGTAGGTGATGTTGGACATCTTAATTGAGTAGGTTCAGCTATTGGAGCATTAAATTTAATTTGATTATCTTGTTGAGTATTTTGATTTATACTTTCTGTATCAGAATCTGTACTAGTTTGATTATTACGATATTCGGAAAATGAGGCTCTTGAATTTGAATAATAAGAGTTAATTCTTGGGGGAAGTCGTTCTCTAAATGATCCGAATTGTAATAATATTTTACCATCTCTTTGTTCGAATATTCTTGAAATATTTCTTTGTTCAAAATTTCTAGGGGGTTGTGTAATTTCTATATATTTTCCATTGGTCTGGAATAGTTATTTCATTCCATTTTAATTGCTTAGGTGTGTAAGTAGCAGTAGGAGCATCTTTACTATGAACTGCTAATATTGTCGTTTCTCCTTTATCATCTTGTAATAAGCATCTTGGATTAAATTCAGAAGTTGATTGTTTAAAGTAAATTTGATAAAGTAATAAATAACCATGTCTTTCGTTTTGAAATTTCATTTCTGGTAAATGAACATTTAATACTAAAGTGTTCAATATAGTTGGATCGTGTAGGCTAACTTGATAATTTGGGGCACAATTAAAGTACACTGCTCCGTTACATAAGTTTGATTGTACAGCTCCTAATAAGGAGTCTTCATATTTTAATAAGGTTTTGTCTCGTAGTAACATGAGTATAGGTGAATCTATACCCGTTCTTGATAATGGTTTGATAGCAATTTGTATAAGTCCAAAATGAATATAATTAAATCCTTTTTGTTTATATTTGTCTAAGGCGAGTGATGATAATAATTTTATCTCTTCAAATTCATTTTGAAGAGACAAGGTTTGCTCATGTTCTTTTATTGAATATGCTGTTTTAAAATCAAATGTTCCAATTTGATATATGTTGTCTGGATTGATATGTGGTAATTTATCCTTTGTTATTTCTTGATTAAAGGATGTTATTTTTGACATTATTTCTCTTGAATTAATTGTTGTATGTGACGAAGATGCAGATGCATATTTCGACTTAAAAAACTTTCTAAACGAGGATGCCATGATTTATACAAAATTTAGACTCATGAGAAGAGACTTACCGATTCTAGTTGATCACTACTGCTGGCTTGCCAACGGACTCACTGCCTCTCTTAGGTCTTGCTGCCTGGAACACCATCAGCTTCGTGGTTTCATAGATTGGAAAGGTCTTTTCTTAAGGTTTAATTTTAAAATCACGAAATCCTTGTTTTTTTAAAACTTTTTAAGAAAACTTTGCAAAATCTGCAATGGTTTTGTTAAAGATCGTTTTGACAACTGATACCAGTTTAATACCTATTTTAAAATTTATAAAACGTTTTACAAATACTAATTTGCGTTAATTACTATGTGAACAGTAACTTTTGAACAGTAACTTTTGAATAGTAAATTTTTATTTTTTGAAATCGAAATACAAAGATTAGAGATTTAAATTACAAAGATAAATTTAAAACTTAAAACTAAAAAAGCTTTTACAATTTTTAGAGAGAAGGGAGAGCTTTTTTCGAGAGAGAGAAAATCTGAATTTTGCTCGTGTCCTTCTCCTTTGTTTTGAGGGCATATTTATAGGAGAAGATTGTGTATAGAGTCTTGATACGTGGAGCTCATCAGATGGTGCCGACACTCTTGTGACATGTGTCGTTCATCTAACGGTGCCGACAGTTTTGATTACGTCATTGCTTGCGTCATTGCTTACGTCCTTGCTTACGTCTTGCTTGCGTTATTGCTTACATCTTTGCTTACGTCATGCTTGCGTCATATTTCCTGTGTCTTGATTTATTCTTCGATTTTACAGAGATATACTCTGTATTTTATTTTGATGTTAACTGGTGTAGCATATAGCCGGAACAGTAATTTTAAATTTTAAAGTTACCGTGAACAGTAACTTTTGAACAGTAACTTTTGAATAGTAAATTTTTATTTTTTGAAATCGAAATACAAAGATTAGAGATTTAAATTACAAAGATAAATTTAAAACTTAAAATTAAAAAAGCTAAATTTTAAATTAAAACTAAAATTTAAAATTTAAAACATAAACAAAAATCGAAGAATAAACCCGGAACAGTAATTTTAAATTTTAAATTTACCGTGAACAGTGTGTAGAACTGAGTCGGTAACTACAATTAAACCCAAAAAAACACAAAAAGACAAAAAAAGTAATGAGAAAACCATCATCAAAATTAGTGTATAACTACAGTATATTATGTTTTTGTAACTTACGGTAGCTGGTTCAAGAAGACAACCGATGAGATTGAAGATATCACTGCACCGATCGATAAAAGGTCGTGAATTATAACGTTAGAGACAGTGTACGTGTTAATTAAATAATAATATAGAGATATTAATAAGAATTTGTTGGAGATCTCGAGTGTACGGACCCAGCGACCCAAGCGAGGAGGAAAGAGAGAGAGACACCATGACTAGACTTTGTACGGAAGTTAGTAATGATCTGTGGAATCTCTGCGACGGCCCAGCAGATGAGGCTAGCGATTCCTAGTGCGAACGAAACGTCATCGTTTAGGTTACACAGACAGTCATCGAAGTATCAGAATGTCAGAAAAGGTCTGACTGGGAGAAATGACAGATTGCCATGAAAAATGAATTAAACTCCCTGAATAAAAGAAATTTCTTTGGACCTATAGTCATTACACCAGAAGATGTAATGCCAGTAGGGTGCAAATGGGTCTTTGTGAGAAAAAGAAATGAGAAAAACGAGGTCACAAGATATAAAGCCCGACTTGTGGCACAAGGTTTTTCTCAAAGACCGGGAATTGATTATGAAGATACATATTCCCCGGTCATGGATGCAATCACATTCAGGTACTTAATGAGCCTAACGACATCTAAAAATCTAGAAATGTACCTTATGGATGTTGTGACTGCATATCTATATGGATCACTTGATAGTGATATATATATGAAAATTCCAGAGGGAGTAAAGATCCCAGAAGGATCAAAGATGCTTGAAGTATCTAAAGACATATGTTCGGTCAAACTACAGCGATCACTTTACGGATTAAAACAGTCTGGACGCATGTGGTATAATCGCTTAAGTGAATATTTGTTGAGTAAAGGATACATCAACAATGCGATATGCCCTTGCGTGTTTATTAAGAAATCCTCGTCAGGATTTGTGATTATTGCTGTATATGTCGATGACCTGAACATAATCGGAATTCAAAAGGAGATTGATGATGCGAGAACTCACATGAAAGAAGAGTTCGAAATGAAAGATCTTGGAAAGACAAAATTTTGTCTAGGGCTCCAGATTGAGCATTTCCAAGATGGAATATTTGTGCATCAATCAAATTACACCAAAAGGGTGTTAAAACGCTTTAAAATGGATAAAGCAACTCCTTTGAGTACTCCAATGGTCAATAGATCACTTGATATTAACAAGGATCCATTTCGATCTTGTGAAGATAGCGAAAATGTATTAGGTCCTGAAGTACCTTATATGAGCGCTATCGGTGGGCTTATGTATCTTGCAAATTGTACTCGACCAGATATAGCCTTTGCTACTAATCTACTTGCAAGATACAGCTCATCTCCTACGCGCAGACATTGGAATGGGATAAAACATATTTTTCGTTATCTCCAAGGTACGATTGATCTGGGTTTATTTTATCATAGAAACCCCGAAGTTGGTCTAGTTGGTTTTGCAGATGCAGGATACTTATCAGATCCGTATAAAGCTCGATCGCAAACTGGATATGTTTTTACAATTGGTGGATCAGCGATCTCGTGGCGTTCTCAAAAACAGACTTTGGTCGCTACTTCTTCAAATTATGCGGAAATTATTGCTCTTCATGAAGCATGTAGAGAATGTATATGGCTCCGATCTATGACTCAACATATACAAGGTGCAAGTGGAATAGTCATCAATACGGAACCAACAAAAGTGTTTGAAGATAATGCTGCATGTGTTGCTCAACTCAAAGAAGGTTTTATCAAGAGCGACAGAACAAAACATATTTCTCTAAGGTTTTTCTCTTACACTCAAGAACTCGAGAAAAATGAGGAAGTGGATATCCAATATGTTGACAATGCAGCAAATCTCTTTACAAAGGCGCTTCCCACTACATCATTCAGAAAACACGTTCAAAGCATTGGAATGCGCCGACTGCGAGATATATGAAGAAATGTTATATCCATCACTTCCAGAGGGGGATTACGTTACTGTACTCTTTTTCTCTTATCATAGTTTTTATCCCAATGGGTTTTTCTATGATAAGGTTTTTAACGAGGCAGTACGTATATACATAAGCCATGATGGATAATCAAGAGGGAGTGTTAAAATATAGTTTATGCTTATCCATCTTGTAATAAAATATTACAGCAAAGTTTTACCAACATAGTTTAACCGCCTCTGTTCTATTATAAATAGATGCTCAACCTCTTTTGTAATGAACCAACTTATGAGAATATAAAATCATCCTTCCACTTTTTTCTTTGACCCTTCACCTCTCTTTTTATCTTTCCACTATAAAACATCGCTCATCTTTTATACATATATATAACTTATATATAAACATATACATTCTCACATATATATCATATAGTTTATATCAGTTATATGTTTATCAGATTCATAATTTGTGATAAATTTATACATCTTTAGATTTTCCATATAAAAATCTTTTACATTCATAAATCCTTTTAGATTTGATATTTTAAAGATACAATATTACTTTAGTATTTTTTTGTCAAACATTATTATATTTTTTGCCAGCCTTTTACAACATAAAATAATCATTCAAAACCCTTTGAACAAATAGACTAGCTAAATCGAGTTAGTTGGTGTGATTAATTTGGGCCCAAAAAAGCAAAAGAAGAACAAAGTTACAAAACCCTTTGAAAGAAAAAGAAAAAAAACGAACAAAACCCTACAGCTGATGAAGATGACCCACGTATGCAAAGGCCGGGAATTTCGTCGAACACTTGGGCTGCGTTTTAAAGTTCTCCAAATGGCGCCTTTTGCCTAAAACCTTTAACCCTCTCTCTCTCTCTTCACAGTTCACAGAGATCTAACCTCTCTATCTCCAATGTTTGGCACTCCGTCTTCCTCGCCGTTCGGCACTCCGTCGTCCACGCCGGCGTTCGGTGCGTCGTCGACGCCCCCTTTTGGTACCCCTTCGTCTTCCCCGGCGTTCGGTACACCTGCAGCCACGCCGGCCTTCGGAACGCCTTCGGCACCTTCCTTCTCCTCCGGCGGATTCGGCTCCTCACTTTTCTCTACTCCGTTCTCATCCCAACAGCCACCGCAGCAACAGCAGCAGCAGCAGCAGCAGTCGAGCTCGCTGTTCCAGCAACCAGCATCTTCTGGTTTTGGTTTTCAGTCACCATTCAACACGGCGCAGCAGACGCCGCCTTTCCCAAATGCGCAATTGACTACTCAGATGGCTCCTGTTGCTCCCATTCCTTTCTCTCTCGCCGATCGTGATGTCCAGGTTTGCTATTTTCTTTTCACTGTCGACTCACTTTGTTTCTTGTAACTCCAGATCTAAAATCCTTAACGCTAGTCTTTACGTTGATTGAAAAGCCTTGCTTTGCTTACTTGCTTTCGATTTAGGCCATCATTGAAGCGTATAAGGAAGATCCGACGAATCCCAAGTATGCTTTTAAGGTTAGTTTGGGTGGAAATTTCTGAATTCTATAGCTTTTTGGAGATTTTTCTGTTTATGTTAACTTTAGTATCCATTTGCCTGCAGCATCTTTTGTTTAGTGTGACTGAACAACAGTACCGGGTGAAGCCTGCAGCCGTATCAGATGTGAGAATATTCATATCATGGGAATGTGCAGTGTTCCTGTGTAAATCGGTTTCTTGGTTTTATGAATGATTTTATCTGAGCTCTCTCTGAAGGATTTCTTGGTTTTTGTGGTAGATAATGTGGGCAGAGGCCATGAGCAAACTTGAAGGCATGGATTCAACAGAAAGAGAGCGCCTGTGGCCTCAGCTTGTGCAAGGCTTTAAAGATCTTTCTCAACGCCTTAAGGTAGATCTCATCAACTGCCAAGTTTCTATGCTTTTTGTTTGGTGCTTTTAGTGCCTTGTCCATATGCGAGGAAGTGGGTTTATGGGGGTCTTAAGCAAATACTGTTTTGTTTTTGAAGATTGACATTAAATGATATGAAATCATTCATTCAGGTTCAGCACATTTGATAAGTGAATCTTGACACTCTTTTTGTTGGTACCTGCAGCTTCAAGATGAAGTACTCGTCTCAGACAGGGAAAGAATAAAAACGACTCAGAGCAACGTTAAAATGGTGACGTATCGCTTCTCCACACTCTCTCATACTTTTACAGGATAACCTCACAAGAAATTGTTTGATTCTGTTTTTACAGCTTCAGAGACATTTGCAAGCACATACCTTTCCATCTATTGAAAGGTTGAGACAGAAGGAGCAGAATCTTCAAAGACGCATGTTGAGGGTGAGAGAAAAATCGTCACAATGAAAGATCTTACCTCGTTATGTGAGTCCAGATTACAGTCAAAGTTATACTTACTTTTGTGTTCTGGCTTGTGTGTTTGAAGGTGATGAGAATAATAGAGGGCTTAGAGGGGAAGGGTTTGCGGTTGCCCTTGACAAAAGGAGAGGCTGAGCTGTCTGAGAAGTTAACCGGAATAACAAGACAGGTCTGTGTTTCATTTTTATCCGACTCCTAATTGAAGATTTACAAAGTTATGCAGAAAAAGGATGTGTATATTCTCAGGTGAAAGGTCCTGGAGCAGAGCTTTCTAGGAGAGTGCAAAGTCTGCAGACAATATCTCGTGCTCAAGCAAATTCCTTTGCTGGTGGTAGCTCCATATATCTCCCGGGATCAACTAAAATAGACGAGCAGAGCCTGATTGATATGCAGGAGGTATAAGATGCTACATCTTTGGTCTTTGCTTGTTTTTAACCAATTCATTATAAAACTGTGAAATTTTTGGTACTTTGGAAACAGGTATTGCAACAGGAGGTCGAAGCCATAGGAAGGCTCGGGAACGTATTGAAGCGAGACATGAGGGATATGGAAATCATGGTGGCTGAAGATACAGAAATGACTCAAGACACATAGAATGCGGATCTGCAATTACTTACTCCAGTTTCTAATGTATTATTTCCTTTACTATTGGATGTGCACATTGTTATGCTCAGACACGACAAACCTAGCTTTGGACTTTAACATGTACGTAGTAGCTGAGCTATAAAATCTTTATGTATTGTGATTTTTTTTGTCTTTATAGTCTTTGAAGGAGATTTCCTTATTGTGGTCACAAAACACGCGTGGTAAGATTTTGAGGTTCAAAGTTACAAATGTTGGTAATCAAAACGATTACTAAAATAGAGGGTACTCTTCGGACATGATTAAGAGGATAAGTGCAGACCAGCCGGTGAAGACACGAGCACCTTCTCCAGTTCCTTTTGTTTGATCGTAGTGTTCCCAGATATATCCAGTCTGATCATAGTTTCTGACCACGTTCCTACATCAACAACACAAAATATAGGCAAGGCCACATATACTCATACATCTTCAACTTTTCGTTATTAAAAGCATGCATACCTTATCAGATTGCTCCTTAGTTCCTCGTAAATAGTTCTTGCCTTGTCGCTGTACGGTCCATCCACTGCAGAAATTTTGATTGGTTATATGAATTTTTGTTTTTTTTTAATGGTGAATTGAGGGAATCAGAAATGTACGGTACCTATAGAGTAATGGTGCAGGGAAGAAAGAATCATGTAGTTCATGTTCATCCATATTGCACCTCTCCAGTATGGTGCTTCGTGCTCAGTGTTATACTTCATGTACAAAGAACTGGAAATGAAAGACACAAATGCGTGCTTATGGAATCACAGAAGAATTAATGAAAGTTCTTCAGGTATGTTTGTTCTTGCAGGCTCACCTAGTTTTGCCAAGTGAAAGTAGTCCATAGTCACTCCATACGATGCTCCTGTTTGCAATAAGATCGAGCTGTTTCTCGAGAATTGAAGAATCCTTTCATCGAACAGCAAAATATATGTGAAGGTTTAGTTTTAGTTTTCCACAAAGGTAGGGTTTCAACGATCATGGATGATATTAGATACTAATGCAAGATATGTTTAACTCTCACAGGTGGGATGATTCTAAACATGAAGGGAAAGAAGCTGACGTAACCAATGTGAGGAACCAATCTTAGCTCTGGCTTCCCAAATGTCTCCCTTACAAGCTCTCGAGATACACGACCATCTTCTCCAGTTAGCTCTTTCCAGATTAACCGAACCTGGTAAATCAGATAAAAAGAGAATCGACATATTTTTCTACCATGAAGGTTGATATTCAGGCTTATCTATGAGATAATTCATTCAGATTTCCTTACATCTTCTGTATGATTACCAAAGTCAAGGTAAGCTCCATGATCATGGTCGTAATGCATCTGTAAAGGAATTAGACGTGAAGAAGAGATCATGCGATTCTTCTCTAAGAGAGATCTTAGTAAAAGTGTAGCCTTGTAGGCATTCTATAAGAATATATTAACCTGATTCAGTTGATTGAAATCTGAAAGCAGCTTGACAATTGAGCTGTAATCCACCTGCATGAATACAGTTTCAAAAACATATGTGATTAAGAACACATAGAGAATGTAGTCTAATTTCTTGCCATGTTCTTCTAACCGTCTCAGGTCTATCTTTTTCTCCCAGAAACTCTATAATGGAGTTCATGCAATCTGCCGCAAGATACATCCAACATCTGAGGTCGACATGCCTCTCGTCTTCAGTTGGGTGTGAAGCCCGAGGATAATCATCCAAACCCGAGGAAAGAGACTGCAAGAATTTGTGAAAGCCAAGGCATTAGGTATCTCTCAAGTCTCTTGATTTATCTACCACAGTTATTCCCAGTTATACAATCTGCAGAAAAAAGTGGTAAAAAACCAACAAAAGAAAAAGAGGAAGCTAGAAATCCCCACTCCATAGTTTGGTGACAATTCTATAAAGAATCAAGAAACAGTACCTGAGGGTTTAGTTGCCGAGTTGTTAAACTGTCTCTACCATGCCAAAAGTAACTTCCCACCTCCTTCCCTGGTGTTTAATCAACTCATATACGTAATTTTTTAAAACAAGAATTCATATAAGCAGAATATCACTCATGCATGATAGTCAATTCGATACAAGAAACACCAAACACAGAGCTGTTGAAGGGCTCAAGCATCCTGCAACTCTGTAGAAATGGACTCCATGTTGTTTACCTTTCTGGGAAGTATTGAACCACTGAAACCATGCATCTAATCGTACAAAAGCTCGGTCAAGGAATGACAAGATTTCATCTCTTTCTTCCTTGTTAAATTTCTCTGTTCGTATCCCATTTATTAGATCTGGAAAAAAAGAAAAAAGCAAGATTTGTCAACAGAGGGAATTGAGTTGATTATGAAACCTTGTTCTCTACATCAAACAAATCTCTCAATTAGTTAACTACATATTCATACCGCGTATGACCAAGAGTAGTGTAGGTGGATTGCCATTACTTGGGATCTGAACAACGTACTCTTTTGGAATCTTACTGCAGCATAATCAAAGAAAAACACTTCAGAGTCATTGATAACAACATAACAATAATGATGACTATTGAGGTTTAGTAGGAGTATATATAATAACCTCAGAGCTTCATCACCCAAAATTTGCTCACGTGGAATCCATCCATCTATGTTCATCAGGTCTAACCAGTTTCCAACTATTTCCAAGGTTATACGGAAATCCCAGCGCCTGTATCAAAGAAGCAATCCAAAGAATGATGAAATCTTGCAACTTTGTATAAGACCAGATATGTATTAACTCAGAAGAAAATACACACATAAGAACACAATCCTTATAGAAACATATCAAGAAACGCTTTAGCATATATTGTATGATCTGGTAACAACAAACCAGATCAACAGTTGATGGAAACCTTCGTCCCACAAAAATCCCCTAGGAAATACAGGCCGGCTTGGAACTGCTGTGTACAGCTCAGCTGGCCAATATAGCAAGAAATCATCCTCACTTTTATTAGGCTGCAGCTGAAACATATCAACACTCTGAGTCTGTTCTTTTTTAAGGGGTTGGACTTAATGTGAAGCGCAAAAAGCAAGAAAAAAAATGAAACTCACCTGAGTACTTTTAGGAGCCTGAATTTTGGATTGACCATAGAAGTAACCAATGCCACCAAGCATGTTCCCGATTGCAGCTTTACCAACCATCAAAGTTTCAGAATCAAGCTGGAATATTCAGAGCAGGTAAGGTCAGCTATTACATTGGCATTTTGAAGTTTCAAACTAAGAAAACAGTAGAATCACACTTTTTCAGAAAGGTGGAAGCATTCCTTGAACTTTGCATCAAATTCTATATGTTTCTCTTCAAGTAGACTAGAGAGTGACAAACCTACACGGATTAAAGATAGAAAGTCAGCTCAAAGGCGTAGAAGCACAGAAGATAATATCTGTTAGTAGCTAATCAATATTAGATATATATATATATATATATATATATATTCAGAGGAAATGGTGTTTGACAAAACATTTTCTTGCGGAAACTCTTTTCACAGACCCACGGACAGAAGAAAGCTGACCTAATATTCTCTATCTAAACTATTCACATTTGGCTGGAAAATGATTATGCAAAATTTAGTTGTTGTTCAGAAAATGTAATCCTATCATCATCAATGCTTAGAAGCAACAGGAAGTTATAAACCTGTAAGACTCATTATACGCTGTTCCACATCACAAGTTTCTCCTCTTATCCCAGAGACGAAGGCAATATCTACAGTAGATTGAGTCGTCGTGGAAATCTGCATGACAAAATGCATGAAACGTTTAAATCAACGAATTCATATGAGTAAATTAGGATTGAGGGTTTTGTTAATAAATCTATATTCATTCATATAGCTTGATTACCTGAAAAACATAAATGCTAGAAGAATCTTCTGATGTGTCAGAGAGCTGAAGTCGTCCAGACTTTCTTTCCTAATAATATACAAGCCAAGAAGCAAATAAGCACTGTGCTCTTTATAAAACAAAAACAAATATACAGTTTATCAACTTGCAAAGTTGAGATATAACCTGTACATCGAGATTTTGCTGAACAATATCAGACAGATTGACAATGTCAGGCGTCTTGAAACCGCAATAATGTGTCTCAAGATTGTTCTGCAAACAAAAGAGAAGCGGTTATATCCAGAGGAGAAAAACTGCGTGGCACAGTCATACAAACAATTAAGATCCTATCATCTCTAAAAAAGCACTGCAAATCGAAAGTTACCTGTGACTTCAAGTGCATCTGCCACTTTCCTACATCTGCACTTGAGCCAGAAGCCAGGAGAGAACTCTCTTTAAACTCGAATACATCCTTGCCTAAATTCATACCATTTCCACCTTCATCAGCTAGATAGAAGAAGAGATGAACTCTTTTCTTTACATCATCACTCAACCTATTTGTCAACCAAGAAAACATTGAAATATAAGCAACAATCATGAAAGCAGAACCACAGGCTAACTTACAATAAATAACATATTGGCACACTTATCAGTAAATTACCTTTTATTTTTAACATTGATTCGAATTGACCAATCTCCTCCATAACCGAGGCTTCCCTCTTTGGACTTGACAAAACTTGTCTCCAGTATCATATCTTGTTCAAGAAGCTCCTGCCTCCCAAAATCTATCCCATTGTGTTCTCTCCAGCCAAACGACTCAAGATCGTCAGAGTTTTCACAGAAATGCCTCATCACATGCTTCCCATCATCCTTCGAACCGAGCCACATCAAGCCAGCGACGAGGGACTGAGGAGTTCTGCATTTTTCGTCATATTAAAACTTAGCAACTTGTACAAGAAAGGAACACACACTGATATGGGGGAATCAAATGATCAATCTCCCCTTTAGGTTTTAGAGCTTATATGACTCCGTTTGGTGAAAGTTGTGCAATAAGGTGAAAGCAACAAAGACGTTTCTTGATTAGTACCTTGCTCGAACTCCAAAATAGACCTGAGGACGATAAGTTCCCCAATACAAGCTCTCCTTATGATCACCTTGAAACTTGAAACAAGAAGCTCCAAATTAGCAAAGAAAGAAACTAAGGAAAAAGTAAAGCAAAATGATTTGTGAAGAGTATATATACCATAGGTAAGTCGGAGAGTTTAGGAGAAGGAAAAGGAGTGATAACACGAAATCTCTGGGATTCATCATCTTGCAGATCACCGAACGGTGACTTGATTCCACCAGCTGCGTTCTTATGGCTTTCTCCGGTCATCATCAT